GAGTGAGTTGCCTTAAGGCAGCCCTCAAGGTAGAGGTGCGATCCATAGGTGAAGCCTGTATTAGAGCCCATAACCTCTCAGCTGCACTGACCACCTCCCGAACGACGATGTTTCTTTCCCTGTCCTGAAAGGCTGGGGTCAGGCTAAGTCTGTCTGTGACAAAGCATGAAGAGAAAGACATTTCTGATTAACAATATTTATGGGAAGATGCCATTTTTGTGTGTTTCTCTGTGCAAGAAATGCCATTTGGAAAGTCGGTGTGCATGTCAGTATTTTTTTTTTTTTTTTTTCATTCTGAGAAAAAGCCTGTGGAGTCTGGTGGGGGGAGGGTTTGCAGCTGGCAGGAGCTTTGGCATATGTTGTAACTAAAAAGAGAGGGAATGTGTTGGTGGGACAAGCTACCGGAGAGCTGTCTCGGTGTGCCGCGGTACTAGTAAGTGTTTTAATTGGGTAGGGTTTTTGGAGGACTATTTTGACATCTGCTCGTGTCTTTGCTGATTTTTCTTCACTTAGAGTAGGAAACACAAGCTGTGGATAAAATGACTTTAAAATAATTGGAAGTAAAGATATCTCCCTCAAAGTCGAATTTGAGAGGGACACTTTTTAAGAAGTGGAAAGTAAATTCCACTTCTAGGAATCCATCCTAAAGCACAAGGCTTTATGCCTACAAGTTTCACGACAATATTATATATAAAAATCTCTGAAAAACTGGAAATAACAGCCAACAGGAGGGGGTTGGTTGTGTTTTGTTTCCGTGAAATGGAACATTTTGTGGCAATTAGTAGTGGTCTTTATAAAGTTTTTAATGAAATGGAGCATTCGTATGTTGTAATAATGAGAAAATCAGAAAGAAATATTAAGAATTGTTTTAACTATATTTTTTAAAGGAGGGATCGGGGTGAAGGGTTATGGAAGGAGACATCAAAACATTATCTCCAAATGGAGGGATGAGGGTAACTATAATTTCCTTCTTTGAACTTTTTTGTCCATCCCTTTTTTTTTCTTTTTTAGATTTTATTTATTTGACAGAGACAGTGAGAGGGGGATCACAACCGGGGAGTAGGAGAGGGAGAAGCAGGCCCCCCGCCGAGCAGGGAGCCCGACGCGGGGCTCGATCCCAGGACCCTAGGACCATGACCCGAGCCAAAGGCAGATGCTCAACAACTGAGCCACCCAGACACCCCCCCTTTTTTTTATTTTTAACAGGCGTATGTGATTTTTATGATATAAAAGGCGAGTGTTATTTTGTGTCAGAGAAAGCTGGCCCCGGAGTGTTCCTATAGCTTCATGCCCTACAGGTACTTGTTCTGAGGTCTGAGCAGTTGGATTTGGGTTGTCTTCAGAAATAGTTAGGCTTTTGAGTCAGAGTGGGTTCAGAAGTCAGCTCTGCTGCTCACTAGTGGTGTGATTTGGGGCATTTTCTTTGACCTCTCCAAGCCTCATTTTCTCATCCCTCCCATGGAGATGGTCCTATCTTCTCTTACCGTGGTTGGAATTAAGTGAGCTGGCAGCCAGTCATGGTCCAGCTTCCTCCTCTACCAGCACTTCTCACTGACACCCCCCCCAGTTTGAAGGTTTTTGTGGGATTAGGTTTTTGTTTGGTGGGGGGCAGGTGGGGGAGAGTGGTTGGCCTTTTTCTTCATTGCTCTTGTTTCCTAGAGCCTTTCAGGGATAAGGCACCATCCGGCCGAGCTGGCCTCTGATTCTCTCCTTGGGAACACTGAGCTTCAGGAAGGCCCTTGAGTCTACGCCAGCCCCTTTGGAAGAGGCCTTGCTGCCGGGAGGGCAGCATTGTCCTATAAGAGGAAGCTCTGCCGACCCAGCTCCTGCCTGGAGCCTGGGGCTTGGGCATTTTGGTTACTAAGGGGACCCTGGCCTGCTAAGTCAGAAAAAAGGGCCAGGTTTTTTCCTCTTCTTCAGCCTGCTGCCATTGTTGAAAAAGTAAACACTCCACACAGCTTAGCCGGCAAGCCCTCCAGCCAGGAGTGGGAAGAAATCAAAAGCCTGTTCCAGCCCAGGCCATGGAGAGCCCACAAGGGCTGGTCTGTGCTGTTGGGGCCTCACTGGGAATACAGGAACAACGCCTGATTCTGGTCCAGAATCAACATCCCTCTTGCTGGGCCTTTCAGCCTCTGAAGCTTCTCTGCAGTGGCCAAGCCCCCTGCCCCCTTCTGTCTGGGGCCATTTAGAAGGTCAGATGAGGCAGAATAGGCAACTCTGGGGTGCAGTGACCGTCCGGGCCTGGAGTCCCTTGCTGAGTTACGGAGTTCCTTGCGGCCCCTTCTCCAGTTCCATTTCTGGTGTCTCGGCTTTTGAGGTGACAGCCCCTTAGCTGCTAAGAAGGGGCCAGCAGGTTTTCGTCCTTAGGCAGTTGGCACTTCAGCTTTCAGACTTGCCAGGGCTGATGTGTGGATTGTAAGAGTAATAATCACAGCTACTGTTTATCCTGTGTGCCTAGCACTGTGTGCATAGGGGGGGTAAGGACAGTGGTCACAGTTATCTTACCAGTTTTACAGAAAAAGTAGCCAAATAGTAGCCGCATAACCTGCGGTAAGCCACTTCACCTCTCTGAGCCTGTTTCTCAGTCCTGGGGCAGGAATGGTGATACTTTGTCTCCAGCTAAATTGTCAAGTCCAAAAGGATCTGTGTGGGCTCTGACCGGTGAGAGGAGTGAAAAGGGTCGTCGTTGTAGAGGCTGTTGTGTAACTTCCTGCCAGCATACCGCTAGGTGTTTAATCTGCTGGACTGAAAAACGAGGCCGCAAAGGAGCCCTGGACAGTTCACCATGAGTCTTAATGTTCTCATCTGAAAAGTGGGGATTGTGCTTTGTGAAACACTAGTGATTTGTGTTATTCTCAAGGCTCTTGGCTGATAGCTTTTTACCCTGTAAACAAAGCAGTCAATTAATGTGAGTGTTGGGGTTTGGAGGGCAGAATAAACTTGTAAGGAGGCAGTTTTGTCCCTTCTCTGCGGTTCTCAGCCCATAGCGAATACTTAGGAAATGGTGAGTGGATTGAGAGGTTTGTGGGCTAGCCCCTGGTGGCTTGGAAGACTCAGTAGCAAAAGGAGTTTGAGGCTCCTAGGTGTGTTCAGTGGGAGGGACCCAGGATGCTGCCACCTGAGACCATTTTCAACGGTAGGAGGCTTCTAACCAGCTCAGCTCCACCCTCCTGCTGGGAGGAATCTCAAAATGTTTACTTAAGCACCATGTTCTGTCCTAGAGACTGCTGTTTGAGAGAATAAGCATCAGCCAGTATTACTAAGTGCTTACCAGGTGCCAGTCATTCTGGGTGCTGGTCATCATGCAGTGGTGAGCCAAACAGATGAGCCCCTAAAGGAGCCCACACCCCAGTAGAGGAAGGCAGGCAGGCAGAGGGGTGCTGGGGCTCAGGGACAAGGGCTCTGTGGAGGTCTCACTGAGGTGCCCTGTGACAGGGGGGCTGACGGTGTGGTGCCATGGGAACATAGCTGTGGAGGCGGCCCATGCGATTACCTCCGCCCCTTACCTCACCTCTCTGAGCCTCCTTTTTCTCCAGGTACATACAATGAGGGTAATAACATGCACTTTGCAGAGTTTGGTAAGAGTTAAATGAGATAAAGTATAAAACACCAGTAGGCTTCTAGTTTATATTATATTATTATATATTCTGTATTATAATTGTCCATTTCTAGGTTGTTAGCAGACTCTGGCTTTAGCAGCCATAGATGGTCCAGCCCCAACACTAGGCTATGCAGTTCTCTTGGATGAATTAGGAAAAGGCATCTCCTTCCTCCCACCGCCACCACCCCTGACCTAGGCATGCGGCTTAGCAGATTTCAGCCCCAGCTGGCTGGCTGGGCGTCCTTGGGCAGTGCACATCTGCATGGTCATATGCAGTGCCTCAGAGGGCAGCTAATAGATTGATCCCTTACAGATGTAAGGTGGCCATATGTCCCACTGTAAATCTTTTGCCCTGGCATATTATGTTGTCCTTCACACCCACAAATATTCCAGTTTGGGAACTGGAAGGTCTTTCTAATGAACCAAGGCCAAGTGGGATAAAGACAGCAGTTCTGAAGTTCTAGACTCTAAGGGAATGAGCTTTGATATTTGAGAGAAGAGGGTTGAATGAGATTGGGAGTGGTGGGTGAGCAGGAGAAAAATGGAGGTGGATTCCAGTAGTGAGTGAATAGCATGATTAGAAATTAAAAACTCAGGCTACACATAATCTCATACTTCTACAGTCTATGGAGAGTTGCTCCCAGATGGGGGACTTTTCCTTTCTCTGTATTTACCTATCCCTTCCTCCCCGGGGCACAGACATGTGGACCCAGTAAGCACGTCTCCCTTACCCTCTCCATCACCAGCCAGTAGAATAATAGATGGCCAGAGCCTCTGAGCCTTGACTCACTAACTGGGTTTCTATGGAAAATGGGACCCAACTGAAAGTGTGACCTTCCTACTTAATGTTTAAGGGAAATGTTAAATGTTAACACTAGGCCATACACCATATTCCATACCCAAGTATGACAAGGTCCAAAAGAGAGATGGGCAAGTAGCTTTTGGTAAATGAAAGGGGATGGGTTGAATGTGGGTGTCATAGGGCCTAGCTGTACATCAAGAGTTCCTGGGGGCCAGAGCTTTAGACTGCAGCTTCTACTGTTTTAAAAAAAAAAAAAAAAGAAAAGAAAATACAAGAAAAAAATAATGTTGGAGTGTAAAGATCTCTCTTCCTAGCTGTGTGACCTGAGCATGTTAACTTAGTCAGCTTCATCTCTGTGAAACCCTTTCCACTCCTGGGACTTGGGGATGACTATAAAGCTTATAGAGTTTTTGTGACAGTTAAAAGGACTCAGAAAATGTGAACCACCTAGCATTGGGCCTGCCACAAAATGAGCCTTTGTCAAAGCCTTTGTCACTGTTCTTCCTTATGCCCCTTCCCCAGAGAGGGCCAGTGGAAGTATCTGTGGCCTCATGGTGCTTCAATGATTTTTTTCTCTTGGAAATTTTTTATTTGCAGAAAGTCAGAAACATGGCCCTAGATGATGTCGTGATCCTCAACGTGGACACCAACACCCTGGAAACTCCCTTTGATGACCTCCAGAGCCTCCCAAATGATGTGGTGGGTAATGAACTCTTGAGGTCTGACTCCTGTGAGTTGGGGGAGGGGACGTGGATGTGATTTCAGAGAAGGGGAAGGAGGGGAGACTGCTGTGGTTGTTTCTATCTCTGCTGTCTCTGCCCCCTTTGTCTCAGTGGAGAAAGTTGGAGGGTGGTTCATTTCTTTAGTCTTGCTTCGCTCTGATAACTTGCATCTGGAGGGCTGTGAAGCAATCCCCGGGTCTCCTCAGTTCCTCTTTCTGTGGGAGCCGGGGAGTCTGGGGGTCTTGCTGTCCCTCTCCAGCACATTGCACTGGGCAACCCCACTGAAGGGGGACCAGAGGGCTTTCCATGTGAGCGACATGGGGCACTTCAAGTCTACATTTCTCTCCTGGACCATCATCAAGCAGCCGTTTTTCCATGTAGCAGGGTATCTGCTGACAGTGCTCTGTGGTTCCATGTCCCATAAATCTTGGTTACCTTAGGTCTAACCAGATAGCGAGCTCACTTTAGCAAAAGCAACTGGCTGCCACATTTGCCACGCTAACACATGACCACACGCTAGTCTCAATGTTACTACTCGGGTGGCCTCATGGGCAGCTGTTTGAAGTAGACCCAGTCTCCCCCTTGTCCATGTGAATGAGGAGGTTTGGGACTCCCTGGGAAATATGGTTTTGATATTTCTGGTTTGACCTGCATGGCTCTGTCTGCTAGAAGATCTGTAAAGTTATTCTGGCTTCCAGACTGAAAGGAGTAGATGTTCCTGGCCACGTGTGCTGACATGGAATTGGGTTTGTGTCGCTAGGTTTATGTCATGGGAGGGGCTCCATTATTGCGAGGAGTCCCGACGGCCCCTTGGAGTTAGCTATCTGGAAGAGATTGCTGTTTGTTGATGAATGGCTTACAACATGGTTTCAAACTCCTCCACTCTTAACTCAGTATAAGATTTGGGGGAGTCATTTGTGCAATATAAAGATATTCCATTCATAGCCTAATTAAACAATGGCTGCCACTAACTGACTTCCTCCGAGCTGAGCACTGTGCTAAGAGCTCATTATTGGCCTCTCATTTCCTCTTCACACTGCTCTGAGGAAAGTATTTTCCTTATTCCCACTTTACTCACCAAGCTAGAAAGAGAAGGAGCCAGGAGGCAAACCCAACTCCCTCACTCCTGAGAGCCATGGGGCCCCCATTGCCTCTCTAGGGCCTGCTGCATTCAGGGATTGCATTCAGTTAGCATCATAGCCCAATGGAGGAGGTGTTCTCTCTCCTTTTCACAGGGGAAAAGAGCCTCAGAGAGCACATGCCTTGCCATAGGTCATATGGCTGGCTGTGGCAGAACTGAGATTCAACACCCCCAAAGCCCCACGCTGCCTCCTCTCCTTATATACTGCCCCCCTTCTACAGCAGAGAGATGGCAGAAGTAGGAAAAATGAAAGCAACAGACACTGTTAGATTTGCTCTTCCTGTCTAGACGGGGTATGGGCCTGGGATCTTAGGTCCTCCTGACCATAGTTTGAGTTCTGTTGGTCCAAAGAATATGTGGTTTCCACCCTGGTTCCCTTTCAGTGGAAGAGCTTTTCCTTTAAGCCATGGGTGCCAGAGGTATGGACCTTGCAGCTCCTGAGTGAATATGGTAAGTGAGCCTAGGAATGGCCAGGAGCCCTGGGACGGCCCAGAGTGAGTGACTGGTGGTTAAGAAACCATGTAGTAGGATGGACTGGTCCCTCTGCAGTGCTCTGACCCAGTACTGGGCATTAAGCAGCAAAGATAAAGCAGATCTAGTCCTTTCTTTCAGAGAGGAAAGTAGGGGATAAAAGATACGTAAATTACATCTATATCACGATATAGCATAATAGGGGCCACAAGGGAAATAGGAATCAGGCACAGAAGGGCCCGGGGGGATGAGAAAATTTGGGAGACAGGTAATAGAGGCTTCCTGAAGGTGGAACATTCCAAGATTGTTTGTTTGTTTGTTTAGAGAGGGAGCACACATCTGAGCATGTGTGTACGAGATTGTACACAAGTGGGTGGGGAAGGAGCAGAGAAGAGGGAGAGAGAATTTTAAGCAGGCTGCATACGCAGCACGGAGCCTGATGTGGGGCTCAGTCTCACTACCCTGAGATCCTGACCTGAGCCGAAATCAAGTCGGATGCTTAACCGACCGAGCCACCCAGGTGTCCCCCCCTCAAGATGCCTTTTAAATGATCAGTGAAGTGGTCTCAGGGAACCAAAGGAATGTGAGCAAGTTATTTTTTGTCTCTGAGCTCAGTCTCCCATCTTGGAACGAGGAGTATGGGCCCTGTAGTTAGGATTGCTGTAGCAAATAAATGAGATGGTTACGTTCCTCAAATGCTTGGGACACTGCTCACACATTGTCAGTGTTCAATAAAAGGTACCTGCATTTGTTTTTCACAAAATTATTGTTAGTAGTTACAGCCAGAGTTAGAGGACAGTTGGTTCCTTAACAGTCCTCAGCCTACATGAAAAGGTCCTCTTCGTTTGCAAATTGGTTTGTGGCAGGGTTGAGAGTGTTCTACAATGATGTTCCAGCACGCGGCTCTAGACCCATTAAAGATTCCAAAGATATAGTAATGGAGAGGGAAGGTGGTCTGTAAGGTATTTGTGTTTCAGTGGAACGCACAGATATGATTCTAAAAGGCTATGTGAACTATCAAATCCTTGAGAGAAGAAATCACATTCTGTGCTTCTCTGTGTCCCCTCCATTCAGCACAGGTCCAGGTACTTTTAGGGTACCAGCATATCCACAGTTGACCTCACAATTTCCCCTTTTGTCAGAGCGGCCTGTTTACAGCATCTGACAAATTCTGCTTCTTAAACTATTTGTCAAATCCTCTTCCCCATCTCTCCCTACACCACCTAATCCAAGCTCTTATTTCTCTCCTGCACTATTATCAGCAGCCTCCGAACTTGGTCTTCAGAATCCAGCCCTTCCTCCTCTTGCACCAGAGCGACCTTTCCAAAAATAAATCTAACTATATTTCCCTCTTAAAACCACTCCATCAATGAATATAATTAAAAAACTAAAAAAACAAAACAAAACTTTGAAAGATAAAATATCCTCCCCGAACTTCCCAGTGCCTATAGCTTAGAGGCAAATTCCTTTTTTTGGCTTTGAAATCAGAGAGACCTGGCTTCTTCACTTACTAGCCATGTGATCTCGGTCAAAATTCCTTAAGCTCTCTGAGCCTTTGTTTCCTCATAGGTTGTTGTGGGAATTGAATGTAATGTATATAATATATGTAAAACATATATCCTATGTGTATGATAGATGGTAGTGGTAATGATTTATGGGTGCAAATGATGATGATCATGGTGGCATTCAGGGTCCTCCTTCAGGTTCTGACCCTCCTGTGTTTTCCCATAGCTTTAACTCACTCCCCTCCCAGCTCTAAACCCTTTATTATAGGTATTTGGAACTGTTAACTAGTTCTCCAAACCTCACAAGTTATTTTATAACTTCAAACTTTGCATACAGAGTTTCTTCTCCTGCCCGCCCCCCCCCCCCCCCAATGGCCCATCTCACCTGTCAGTCTCTTACTCATTCTTCAAGACTAAATGTGAGGCTATAAAAACCTTTCCCGGGGCACCTGGCTGGCTCAGTCAGTAGAGCAGGCGACTCTTAATCTCAGGGTCGTGAGTTCAAGCCTCAGGGTGGGTGTGGAGCCTACTTAAAAAAAAAAAAAAAAGTAAATAAATAAATAGTAAAAACCTTCCCTGACCTCTCCAAGTAATTTGACTGTATCTTTCTCTATATCTTCAGAGCTCCTTGTATTGATTGTGTTAATTATACTTGTCACCCAGCAATATCATTTATTACATATTTCTGGCTTTACCTTTTAAAATTGTCAGTTCTGTGAGGGCAGGAATTAAGTTTTATTCATCTTTGTTTCACAGAGATGTAGCAGCAACTGAATAGATAGATGGAAGGGTGGATGGGACATATGGATTGGGTTATTTTGGTAGATGAAATCTTGCAAAACATGGCACCCATGCTTGAAATTTTATTAAAAGAGGCCTTTGTTCTGCTTCTAGCCATGGTGGAATAATTGGAACTGGCTTTATCCTCCCACTATTAACAACTAGAACTCTGGACAGATATAAAAACAACAGTTTTCACATGTTGGACAACAGGCAATTCAGGACATTGAACTGAAACAAGTGAAGGGAGGCCTACCATCTCCCCTGGCTTTTTGCGTTGAGACATTTCTGGACCGTGGTGCCACGAGGTGGGGGGTCCCCAGCAAAGCACAACAGTCTTGCTGAGTTGAAGGGTCAGAGATCTGAGGGAGAGGTGGTTTACATTTGTGGGTCAGAGTACCAGACTGGAAGCCACTCATCAAAAGAGCTCCAGAAATTGAAATCAGGTCCTCTTGACTAATGTGCTGAAGACTGGGCCTGCCCATGTGTAGGGTGGAGCTCCCACAGAGTAGGAGACATTCAAATTCTGACCAACCAGAGTAAGGAGATCTTGTTGATCACTCGGAGCAATTGTTGGAGACCACAGGAGGCCATGCCTTGGGAGTACTCTGAGTTGGCTCTAGAGTAAAGATAATTTTAGCCTTGCCCTCACAAAGCTTAACAGCAAGCTTTGAGGAGCTTAAGAGAGGGCTTCGGGAATGCTGGCAACATGCTGGGGGGGTGGTGTTGTTGTTTAATACCAGTTACTGGTATTGGGCAAGAATTCATCAAGCTGAACACCAATGTTATGTGTACTTTATGTTTGTAAACTTCAGTGAAAGTTTTAAGCAAAACTATTTCTTTAAAAAGAAAAGGCCTGGTATGCAAGAAATTCAACTTTCTGTCAAAATAAACTTCAACCCTCTTTAAAAGAAGACAAATAGAGGTGCCTGGCTGACTCAGTCAGTGGAGCATGTGACTCTTAATATCGGGGTTGTGAGTTTGAGCCCCACACTGGGTGTAGAAATCACTTTAAAAAATTAAAAATCTTAAAAAATAAAAAAGACAATAAAATCCACACCCAACAGTATAACATTCACA